ACCCTCGCATAGCTTGGTGTGATGGTGTTAACTAACTGTCTTCCTCTAGCTATCGCTTCAAAATTAGGAACGGCTAGCGCAGATAGCCCTCGTGTAGCTTTGTGTGAGATTCAACAAACAAAATAATTTTTACAAGTAATTAAACTCCGGCAAAACTATACAAAAAACAAAAGGTCCAAATACCAAAGCTTATACAGGGGTATAAAACTCGTGCGGGCGATTTAAATTCCTATCACGATTACATCTATTTCTAAATCACATTGTTATTTTACTCAAACCTCTCAAAGTTCGAGCAACACGACTTTCTATTTCTGATGCTCCAAATTACAAGACTGCGATGTTCTTCATAATTCAACAATCTTGGTTTAATTATATTGTACTGTAAGCCCATGAAAGGATATGAAAGGAGACAGAAATAACAGATGATGTGTCACAATAAATTGTTATGGTTCAAAGAAAGCACGTGAAAGATGAAAGAATATATCTCGTAAAAAATGTTAATAATGAATAGCAAAAAATCATATTTAAAGACAAACGTGTGTTGTGTGTAAAAGGAATTCTGGGAGTAATTTAAAGTACTTACAAAAACAAGTAAAATACAATATAAATTATGTTTCATGTAGCTTGACTTTTCATCATCTGATGGCAGCGAGTAAAGATTTAGTTGCTTTTAATTATCTATTTGAATTGTATATTAATATGTTAAGAACTATTTTTTTGTATTTCTATACCATACTAATCAGGTCATCAAGCTGGTCGTCGTCATACATTTTCTTGCGTGTCTCGTGATTATCCAACACATTTCAGCTTTTTAAGCTTGTATATCTTAATAGTGAGTGTACTAGTTTCTATTTCCTCTAAACCCATGTTTGATTTTGGCAACATATGGTATAAAATAGTAGAACATATTAAACAAAATACATGTGAGTACAAACTTTGTACTGTTAGTTACGGTTTGTGTTTTAGTGGAACGCTCCTGAAGAAGCTGTAAAGTGAAACGTTGTGTGCCCAGTTAAAGAGAATAACAAATCTGGTGTTATAAGGTCGTTCATTTCTAGTATTAAAATTTCTTTTATACACTAATATGCAACACAGAAATGAAAATAAAATAGGTCAAAATCATAACTCAGTCACTAAATTACTAGAATGACATGTTATGTAGACGTTTTTCTTGTATCACATTTTGCAAGGAGTATATGTCCTAAAATAACCTCAGGTAAGATCATTTGTTGTTTAATCTTTAGTTTTTGTTTATTTCTTCTACTAGCTGGAGTACCTGTCCCCATAGTCTTTACCGACACTACTGTAAGTTTCGGTTTGTGTTTCAGCGAACGCTCCTAAAGAGGCTATAAAGCGAAACGTTGAGTGTTAATTAAATAACAACAATTTGGTGTTATAAGGTCGTTTATTTCTAGTATTAATGCAGTTAATTCTGAATCACCGAAGTCTGCAAGCGAAGTTAGTCCACCTGAATGATATGATGCTCAGTAATAAGAAAATATTTATAATTCAAATATTTATAAAAGCATTTAACTGGTGATGGTTACAGACGGCTTTAATGGGTAATGAAGAAAAACTTTAATATAAGTTTAACATAACAGCAAATGCATAATGTTTCGACAAGGTTTTGTCATCATCAGGTACAAGTAGTTTACACTGACAAAGATATATATATATGTGCAGTATGGAACAAA